TACACTTTAGATCTCAGTAACTTCAAATGTAAGGAACCCTGCTTCAGGAGATTGTGGGTTTTGCATTTTTAGACAGTTCTGTGCTTAGTACAGTTAATATAACATTTAATTTATGAATTGTCGGCGTCAAGGACTACTCTAATTTCTTAAAGAAGAGTATTGAAAGTTTATAAGCCTTTTCTGATCATATTTCCCTTGATATAATAAATCAATACAGATCACTAATCAGATAATGAGCTATTTTCAAAAATTTTAAGTAACAGCACAGTGCTCTTTCTCTTGTGCAAATGAATACTGAATGGATGACTAACAAAGTTACTAGGTATCTCTTTTCCCTGAGTTTAGATCTGCTGTAAATCATGACTGTTAAAAAATAATTTACAAAAAAGATAAAATCATGACTGAGATATAAAATGAACATAAAGAGACAAATTTATATGGCCATCAAGAAAGCAAAATCTAAAAACTGACCTCTTCCACAGTGAGGAAGTCATTTGAGCCTCCATCAGAGACAGTTTATTCAAATACTAATTCTTTGCATTGCTGTCATTCTTCTACAAATTAACTTTGGTCCCTATAGAGTTGTAAAACAGCTCAAAAATAGGCACAAAACTCATAGAATCAGATAGGTGGGAAGATGTGCCTAAACAAATCATGGTTTTTCATTAAAGACACTTGTAGCAATTATTTTTTGATCTGTTTTGAAATCCTTCACAATCTGCCTCTACATAACTAGTACTGAAGGTAAATGTTAGCCAAAGACATTATTTAAAACCTACATTTTGTGCCATAGTGATAGTGTGAAGAAAATACCTGACTGAATTTGCCCAAAATCAAAAAAGAAACGTCACTGAAATCAGTAGAATTTAACTTTGTTGTGACAGATAGAAAGTGATTTTTTTTGAAGGTATTAACTGATTCTTCAAAAATAAATTTTCCATCTATATAAATCAATTAATGAAAATTGTAGATGCATTAATTATATATATTATTTAATGTCAGTTAAAATCTTTCAACAAGGTTAGAACATTTATATGAAGGGTATATAAAAGGATGTATCAAGTCAACTTTAATCGATTAATAACAATCTCATAACAGATTTGTTTAACAACTTACAGTATATATTTCAGAATGCTGTTGTTTAAGAAAAACAACAGGAATAATCAATTTAAATGGTATACACCAATGAAATGTGAACATATTTTGGCACAATGCAGTTTTCCTCTTAAGTTCCCCTTAAGTGCCATTACGACACTAAAAAACTGCCCATACATGTACAAGATTAAAGTATTTTTGAAGTTCTTTTTCCTTCAGAATGCATTATTAGTATTAACCACTGGGAGGGCATGGTGCTAGTATTCATAATGAATTTTTTTTCCACTCAAAAAAGTGATTCTTGTTGGTGACCTCTCAGAGTTTTCTCTTCATTAAGCCAGTGCTTTTATTGTGTCCAACTTGAAGCCCATGAGAAAACTGAAGGTGGCTGTTTCTTATATGCCTCACCTAGCCTTGTTAATAGATGACAACATTCCACTTGTTAGTACCAGTGACACAGGAGAAACTTTTGTTCTTGTGTTTAGTAATGATAAAGAAGACAGAAAAAGTCTTTTTATGGTAGTTGGGTCCTCAAAACAACTTTTCATGTTCTGCTGATAAGAAGACACAAATTGGCTATCTAGCAGAGGTACATTAGCTTGTTATCTGTATACAGAGCTGATACAGCCTCTTAAATTCCCTCAGTGACAGGAGCCCATGAGGTGAAGGCTTGCAGAGTTAGAGATACCACAGCACTGTTCTTCCATATGAACACAAGTAGGCTTACCCCTGCTTATAGGATTGTAGAATAAAAAATTTCATTTAATTACTGAACACATGCCTAATTTTTTCCTTCCGTAGTTTAAAAAATGTTCAGAGACACGTACTTGGTGATTGCTAGTACTAGAAAGTTTAGTTAAGCATTCAGTATAATAACCATGAAGACAATACTTGAGTGACCCAGTCAATATATATACATGAAAACAAGGGAAATATCCAGAGAAATACTAGAATTAAATCAACAGCTTTGTGATAAAATCTCTGCTTAGACATCTACCATATGTTGTTTTTCGGGCAGTGTGTAGGTTATAAGAGTTCATTATGTTCTAGTTTTCTAATTGTTAGTTAACATCCTCACTGCTGAGAGCAGCTTGTAGATTTGCAAGCCAAACCTGCTATTGCTGACACTGGATAGAGTGGAAGCTTGTCTTCACCCTCTTGTTCTAAACAACAGGACGTTTTATGATTAAGTACACTAAAAGTCCGTGTGATTAGGTAGACCCATAGAACTTAGGCCAGATGACTAATGAGGGGAAATTTAATTGTTTTTTTTTCTCTATGTTCATGTTTAGTGCTTGTGTCTTGATTGTGATTTCAGTCATTGTGTGTGAGGTTCCTGGAGCTTGCTGAGTACTTTTGTTATAGTGTTGTAGAGCAACCCCATACAAAATGGGGTGCCTGACTGTGGGTCCTCACCCGCGCGCTTAAAAGGACTTATCAATGCTCTACTGCAGGCACATGCAAAAGGTTGATAAAAGGTTTATTTACAAGAGAAGGGGAAATGAAAAAATGTACAGCTCAGAGAAAAAAGTGGGAGACAAAGTTTTAAATGACTCCTACCCGATTCGACGATTAGGAATCCCAAAATGGCACTCTGAGAGCTGGCCGGGAGCCAGGAGCCATGAAGCCTGGAGGCGAGCAATAGCGAGCCCTCCAAGGCCCACGTGTTTTGTTTTTATATTTAATCTGGCTGCCCAACATTACCCTTAGGTCCCAGCCACCCTCCCTTTGGTGGTAATGGAATTTGTTTTTTCCAATGTCTTGATGGCTTTAGTCTGGAGTGGGGGTGGGGTCCACAAAGCCTGTATGGGATTAGCTCAGGACATTATTTTCCCCTAACAATAGGGCAGCCCCGATATTGAACGGGTTGCCTGGCTGTGGGTCCTCACCCGCACGCTTACAAAGGACTTATTAATACTCCACTACAGGCATACACAAAAGGTTAATAAAAGGTTTATTTACAAGGGAAAAGGAAATAAGGAAAATGTACAACTCAGGGAGAAAATAGGGAAATAAAGTCTTTAATGCGTCCTACCAGATCTGACCACCTGGAAACCCAAAAAGTACTCTCCGAGCTGGCCGGACACTGCAAGCTGATGGAGAGACAAAATGGGGGACCCCTCCAAAGCTCACGTGTCTGACTTTATACCCACCTGGCTGCTTAACCCCACCCTCAGGTCCCAGCCACCTTCCCTTTGGTGGTGATGGGATTTGGAGTTCCCAGTGTCTTTGGCTTTGGCCTGGGGTGGGGGTGGAGTCCACAAAGCCTGTATGGAATTAGCTTTAGGACATCCTTTTCCCCCAACACTTTCAGAAGCTAGCATATCTATACCAATGAATCTAGTGACCTTATCTAGGACTAGACTGTGAATCAAAGTTTTTTCCTAAAAAACTGTTAGGCAGGCTTATTTGGAAAATTTTAACTTCCTAAAATGACTGGGGTTGGCTGAAAATCAACAAGCATCAAAACTATTCAAGTATTGACCCCAGTAATTCTACCTTAAAAGACCCATAAAGATTTAAAAAAAAAAAAAAAGAGACTATAGGTAAGTTAATATTCCATAGATCTTCAAGCCTATAGTTTTAAATTTATTCCTTTAAACACTGGACAGGCATTTCATAATGATTTTATGTCAAAAAATTAAAAATCAGAAAACTTCGTATTTTTACATTCAGGGAATACTTTGATGATGCTCAAGAAATTTCTCTAGGAAGTCAATTCAGTGTAAATCACACCACGAAGAAGTACTGTTGTAGAAAGAGCTAGCAAAGGGTGTGTGCATGGGGGGAATATATGCTGAATGACTTTTGATTGCAATTTTTAAAAATATTTAAAGTCAATAATATACATAGCAAAGAATCATCATTATCAAATATAAATAGATATTTAAATTTTTCTACTTCAGAGTTACACAGGAAAATGGTGGTGGTACTTAAGAACTAATTAGGAATGAAACTATTGGGATATTGTGCTAATTCTGGTGAATAGGGTAAAGTCTCAGGCAGAAAAGAATGTCCGTAGATGAAGTTATGGAAGTGTTCATTTTTATAAAGATACTATGATAGCTTTTTAGAGCATTATTTTTTTATTTTATTTTTTTTTTTATTTATGTATACAAGAACTGGGTACAGTCAGAAGCGCGGGAGGGTGAGAGAATTCACCAGAGCTAGAGTGGGGAGCAGAGCAGGCAGAAGGACCGAAGTACACTGCTGAGGGGAGCAGCGGGCGGCAGGAGAGGTCTGCGCGCCATGTAGGACCCTCCTCCCGTGGCCGGGGAGCAGCCGGGGATCGAACCGGCGCTGCAGAGGTTGTGGGCAGCTTCACAACCCAGTGCTCAACCGCTGCGCCACAGGGGAGGCCCTAGAGCATTATTTTGATACATTTATGCCTCAGTTCTCACACTCATTGGCACTATCAGAAACAGATCAGGATGTAATCAAGTTAGGTTTGTAACTCAGAGCGTTTAGTAATTTAATATTCTCTAGAAAGCTTGGAAAGGAAGAACCCAACAAGTAAATAGTTCTATTCTCTTGATGTATGACAGGAAATTAATTTTGCTTATATCTAAGAGTTACCTTAATTTGTGAACAGTTGAAACTATTTCAGTGGCTCTTGTATAATTCAGTCTGTGCTCTCTTAATAAATTTTACAAAAAGCTCATGGCAAGTTAGTGTCATTTGTGTGTGAATTTTCCAATTGTATTTCAGACTTTAAGAAAGAAAGGCCTTAATGGTTGTGAGAGCCCTGATGCTGACGATTACTTTGAGCACAGTCCACTCTCGGAGGACAGATTCAGCAAACTAAATGAAGATAGTGATTTTATTTTCAAACGAGGCCCTGTAAGTACTTTCACTTTACCTCTTCTTTTTATTTGTTGATCCTTTTTGTTAACTTCATTATTTAGGCTCTGAACAAGAAGGAACACAGAGGGTGCGACAGCCCAGACCCTGATACTTCCTATGTGCTAACTCCACATACAGAAGAAAAATATAAAAAAATTAATGAGGAATTTGATAATATGATGCGGAATCATAAAATCGCAGTGAGTACTAACGTATGGTTTGTGCTTTATCTTGTGCATGAAGAGATTGACCACACATTTGTTTATTTCCACAGTGGCTGAAATGAGGGGCAGGGATAGAACATTTCATTAATTTTTTATTTTACGGAACTTAAAATAGAATTGCTAAAATCTTGAAATAGTTTATGTTAACATGTCTAACATAGAATGAGAGGAAACGTCCCAGTCGAGGCTCAGCTACTTACCATTCCCTAAAGCTTTGATGTTTTAGGGCACTAAGCCTGGGCATCCTGGATGCCAGTTTCCTCATCTAGAAAGTGAGTGAGCTGGCTGACATAATTTTTAAGCTCCCTTCTAGACCTGAATTTCCATAATAAATACAAGCTTCATGTAAGACTCCCCTTTCCCATGCCTGACTTAGCAAATATTATATGTACTTGAATAGCTCTTGAGAATGTAAAATATGAAGTGGATCATTACGAAATTTGGTCTTTCTATATTATTATTCTGTGCATATGCTGTAATGGTAGCTTACTGTTGGTTCTTTGTAAATGTCCAAAGTGATGTAGTTTCACCTCCTGGTGTGAGTCAGGTTCTGGTCTTGGGATGCCTCCTTTTGATTTTCTCGTCTTTCCTCCATCACAAACCACTTGTCAACAATGCCTCCAAATTCCTTTTCTTCTAAAGTCCCTCCCCTGAGTTCATGCTCTTTAATAGTGCTCACTGGATGCTCTATTTACAAGAGTTAAGACATCTATTCTGGATCTAATTTTCTTCACTATATCTGATTGTAGGCTTCAGTTGGGAACAAATCAGTTCCATTGCTGATATTTATTTCATTGTCAGAGTTAATTATCTTAAAACTATGCCCTACAGTATGCATCATTAATTATTTCTTTTAAGTAATCCTATACTAGAAGAGATTTATGAAAATTAGATGTAAGAAGATATTTTTGTGTTTAATACCATTATTCTTTAAAAAAAAATAAAGCAGAATAAAGTCCCTCACATTCGCTGTTTTAGATCTGTTAATGATTTTTATTATTTTTCTACTTGAAATAAAGAGCTGTGTATTTTTATTCTTGCAACTGGAGTTAGCAGTGCTACCTGACTTTGAAAATCACTGTTTTAAAATGTTTGGAGAGGAAAGTTAATTTTCTCTCACTTTAAATTATAAAGAAGACTTTCATCTATCGTGGTTAACATATACATTGTAAATGATCTGTGGAGGAAATGAGAAAGAAAAATAGCAAATACTGTTTCAAGGGTGTGTGTGTGTAATATTTGGGAGGGAAGGAAGGTAGCATTTATAATATTTGTAATTTAATCATAATGCATTTTAAAGAAGATACCAAAAAATTCTTTTTTAACTTGTTAGTAGTTTTGTTGTTTAAATTGTTTCTTTGCATTTTCATTGCTCATTTGAATGTTTGTGTGTTACTTTTTAAAATTTTGCCCATTAAGAATGTCATTCAGTTAAATTAGACCAGAGCTTATGTATAATGTCCCATATTTGATGTATGAGATTTATATATATGTACACATTTTTCCTCTTTTGTTATATTTGGAATTCCCAATAGAAATATAATATTACTAAACTGGTTTGCATTGAAATGCTAATTTATGCTTACTTGGTGATAATGGATTTTTTAAAAAATGTCTGAATTGATAATGCTATCAGCTATGACCTCTAATTTTTATCTCTAAATATTTATTATTATATTCGTGTATATAAGTATATACAGAAGTTAAACTCAAATATTTGTGTTAAACATACTCATGCTTAAATGTAATTCTAGAGAAAATAGTGTAAATGTGCAAATTGATTTAGTGAGAACTGACCCCACTCTACTTCTAATAACTTTGTCAAATTAAGGTTTGTTAATTTGTTTGATACAAAAGAAAATGAAACTAACATTTTCTCTTCCTTGTTCTTTATTTACAGCCTGGTTTGCCTCCTCAGAACTTCTCAATGTCTGTCACTGTCCCTGTGACCAGCCCTAATGCTTTGTCCTACACTAACCCAGGGAGCTCACTTGTGTCCCCGTCTTTGGCAGCCAGCTCGACATTAGCAGATTCAAGCATGCTCTCTCCACCTCAAGCCACATTGCATAGAAACGTATCCCCTGGAGCCCCGCAGAGACCACCGAGTACTGGTAATTCAGGTATGTAGTGGTATGTGTTCTCTTGGTTCTTTTATCCCAAAGGGTGAAAATTCCAGCGCTAACAAAAAGAGTTTCTTCTTCTGCTGTTTGTAATTTTATTGCTTACTTGTGCTCGCTTCTACATAATTGATTCCATTTAAGATTTTTTTTAATACTGTGCCTCTAGCATTGTGTCACACGTAGCGGAGCAATGAGAACATTGATAACCTTTTGTTATAGGAAAACCATACTTTGACAGGCAGAAATTTTAATTAGACTATCATGAACAAAGATTTAAAATAGAATGTGAGCTATTCATGTTAATAACACAGAGAATAGATTTACTTGGATAGAATTAGAGTGATTTCTGCATCTCCTCCTGCCTGAAATTGTTCATTAATTCAGCAGAAATTTGAAGCGTGTGTGTGTGTGTGTGTGTGTGTGTGTGTGTGTGTGTAAACTTATCTTGCCCTACACACATATACACACATGTATGCACAACACACACATCAAATTACACATTAATACCAAATTCAGAATGGGCTAAATTTTATTTTTGTGTTAGGAATGGAGGAAAGGTTACCTCTGCTCAGAGGTAGTCATAGTCATTCAGTTAAGAAGAATCAAGTTGTATTCATTCTTTGCCCTCTCTCTTTCCCTCTGTAATATTGTTAGGTGGGATGTTGAGCACTTCAGACCTCACGGTGCCAAATGGAGCTGGAAGCAGCCCAGTGGGTGAGTAAATTCCTATTGGATGAATTTTTCAAAGTCCTTGGAGATTTTCAAAATCTTTTCCATGTCAGTATAACTTCTGAAATAGATTTTCATTGTAAAACATTAATGACATCATCATCTACAGTGTAGCCCTAAGAGAGCAGTTCTGAGGACATGGAGCATTTTCCAGCCACTAGAATGTATTTGTTGAGTTGACATGATATTTTGAAATGTGAAGCTAGATTGATAAAATTGAATGACCTGATAAAACTGAATGACCTGCTTATAGCTGTAGGACTGTAAGTGACGTTAGCTTTTAATTTTCTGGAGGCATTGAAATAATAGTTAATTAAGAGCATTTTTGTCACATTCGTGTCAGCATAATTTACCATGAAGCCTGAAAACATTTCAACAACAGGCACATTGAGATGAGTTTATTCATTTAGGGTTGGTAACTTTATTTCTAAATTTTCAGGCTGTGGAAAGATAAGTTATATATTGAAACTATCTACCTCAGAGTCTATCTCAGCAATACTCCATTTTTGTCACAAAAAATGAACTGGAGGTAAAAAGGCATCTATTACGTAGTAATTCACTGCATGCCACAAAATAACAAATGGTGCATATGAGATTATCTTGTTTCAGCCTGGCAGGTTTCCAAACACTTGCATCATCCTGTAATCATTATCTACTGAAGACTCCTGGCTTCACACTAAGAAATACCGTGCTTTTAAATCCTCTTCTGCTTTTGTAATTTGATTCTCATGGGTTACAATGGTACCATATCTAGCTGAAAAGCATCATAGACTCCACATGGAGCAAGAATGTGTGTTCTTGATAAAGCCTTCTTCTAAATTACATCTTTGGATCATCTGTAAATTATATCTTGGCTTTACAATTATGTGAGAGGCAGTATTGCTTTACACATCAGTTTTGAGAGCCAGTCAAGTAAATTAGAATCACCTAAGCATTAAGAGAGATTAAGAATACATCCATGCTATTATAATTAAGAGAAATGTTGTTAATCTGTACTTATTCATGTTAATCTAACATTCTCACATTGCTGTGCAATATGAAGTTTCTATGAAACCTTCCTATTTTTGAATAAAATTACTTAATAAGCATTTTATGTCCTCCAGATGACTGGCTTAGCAGTTCCTCTGCCCAACTCGTGGATGAGCTCTACTCCACAGGGAGGCCTAGTGAGGAGATTGTTGGTTTTGGTTTTTTTTTTAACAGCACTGCTTTTTGATGCTTAACAGAATGCAAGAAATTGCTCCCTAGGGTGTGGAAAGGAGATTCAGCTTAGATTTAATACATACCCCTTTAAAATAACAGAAGCAGAATGCAGAAAATAGCTCATAAGGTTGACTGAAATACCAGTTCCCACAGCAAAATTAAACCATGTAACTGAATTAAAAGTAGACGGTCACTTAGTAAATTTTGGAGAAAGCTAATGGAATTGGGTGAGAGATAGGTGGAGGAGACAGGAAGCACTGATCATCTGGGATCCTGACATTTGGAATGACGAGTGCTGATACAGGTCAGTGCCTTAGTGCCATACCTCACCCTTCTGTTTTGCCTCTTGAAATGTGCTGGCTATCACAGCAGCAAAATACTTTTCAGTTTCTCATATAAATAAGCCACCTCAGTACCTTCAAATTCTAAGTATATTGTAAGCAGATACGTTGACGCATCCATTTTTCTCTGCCAGGTTATCTGCAGGTACTTTAAAGTACTTCAGATATCTTAAGTTAACCATCTCTTTCATAAGTTTTTTAATTTTAGAATTCAAGTATCATTTAAACTCTGCTCATTATATAATGTTTCTAAAAATATTTCATAAACTGCCAACACCATATAGACTTTGGCGGCTTTTTTATTTAGGCGTATAGGTTTATACCTCTTTAAATGTATGTCAGCACACCCATCTCACCACCCAAGCACCAATAATCCTCCACCATAGTCCATTGGATCCTCTCCCACCTCCCTCCACCCCCACCCCACCCCCAGCCTCAATTCTGCAGTCCGATTTTTAGGATTTGTTTTGGTTTACTTTTGACCCTTTGCTTTGTTTCTTTATATTCCATGTGCGAGTGACATCTAGTATTTGTCTCCTTCTAACTCATTACACTTAGCATCATCCCCTCTAGTTCCATAAAGTGGTTCAAATAATCTTATTTCTATTATAATCATAGAATTAAAATATAGAATTTAAAAGATTAAAATGATTTTAGAATAAATTAAAATATTAGAATTAAAATCATCTAATGAACTAATACAAATGTTCTTAAATTGAAAAATATGTGCTACACAGAATTATGTGTTTTTGATCATTGACTGATTGCAGTTCTGTGGGGCAAATCTTCCTAGAATAGTCGTCTCAGTGAGATTATGGGAAGATTTAGTCCAGTGTTAAACACGCACCAGATACTAAATTTTGGTTTGTCCTTGCATATGTGTCTATATACCCAGATGGGCTTAGCTGTCCCACCATTCCTTACCCACACCTTGTTTGTTGATGCACTAGCATTTCAATTTTTTCTTACATTTATGCATAATGCCTGCTTTCTGTCATTAACTGCTCAGTAGTTAATCCCACAAAGTCTTCCTTGATTAAGCTCACGTACCTGTATCCAGTGCTTGACTTTCTATTTACTTATAAATTTTGTGTGGTTATTAACGCTTAGCTGTTTTGCTTTCACCCATATCTTAAGTATAATGTTGGCACATTAAGTATAATGTTCATTCATCTGTGATGTATACCTGCTTTGGCTAACTAGATGAAAAGCTGCTTGCAAGCCTGTTGGTCTTCATGATTTTTTTTTCTTTCCTTCTTTTACTCTCCCCACATAGTGCTTTACACATAATGGATGTTTAAATTTATTTCCAAGTTGTAAAGGTAGTTTCATATTGTCTGATATTACATGGTGGTTGCTACTGATAAATGAATTCTGAGTCCCACCCAGAGAAGTCAGAGGCTATTTAGCACTCTAGGAACTTCTAGTTCTTTATTCTTAATATTTTGTTCTTGACCTTGTACTTAAGCTTTTGGACTAAAGTAGAATTCTTAAGCCCCAAATTTATTATTTTATTCAATGTTCTTAAATTAACATCTGGGTACTGCAATAGAGTAGACTTAGATACTAGGGACTGTCCAAAATACATTAATATTACCAGCATTTATGGCATTAAGTCTCCACTTACTGCCAAAAGCACGCTTGGTAAACTTAGTTTTTTATGTTTCGATTATACAGTTGGTATTTATTAAAAATTTTGATTCCCTCATGGTGTATTTTTTTACTTTTACGGGCGATTACACTGTCTTAGATTTAGTAATTAAATATTCCTTTAAAATGGAAATTAAAATAGCAAGGGTAATCTATTTTATAAATGAACACTTTATGGTCTATTAAATTCTTTTTAATTTGTGAACTGTAAACTGGTGAACAGTAGGTATTTCTGTTCACTGTTGAACAGAAAACCACTTCAGTTGGGCCTAAATGGAAAAAAATATATTAACTTATCTGTAACTACAAAAAAATCCAGAAGTGGTACAAACTACAATTACTTCATTAATTTGTAGTTCTCTTTTTGTCAGCTTTAATGACTTGAGAATAAAATGCTTCCTCAATCATATTTGGAGGAATGTGGTAGCCCCCCCTTCCCCCCCACTCCCCATGTAGCAACTTCTTTACCTAGCTTGTGAGTGACCTTTCTTGGATCTGTAGGTGGGGAGAGAGAATGCAGTGCCCTCATTGGCTTGGATCTGAGTCAAATGCCTGTCACCAAACAAGTGATGGGGGATTGCAGTGGCGTCAGCCCCACCCAAAAGAGGTGGCTGCTGCACTGGAAGAGGACCAGCATGACTGTTCAAGATGTGGGCTCTGTCCACCTGCCCAACAGTTCTGTGTTTACTGAACGGACGCCACAATGTTGCTATTTCCTTATTTCTGCTAAGAGAGAGCGTTCTGTTAGGGGATGTTAAAAACCAAGAATAAGGTGATCTTAGTGGCAGCTGAAAAAAAGGAACAGATTTAAGTAGAGCCATAAGGAGGAAATATTTGAAAATGAGGCTTTAGAGCTGAGTACTGAAGAAGCTGGAATTAAGGAGTTGCCGTCACACCCAGGTCAGTGCCCAGAACCGCGTAGGAGCACCGTGGCTGCCGCAAGAACAACGGTCTTCTCTGGCGCTTTCCTCCGTTTCTGTTGTTCTGGCTCTGTGGAGATCCACCCTTCGGCATGTTTGCGTTTTAATTGTGTCTCAGCAGGTCCAAGCAGTAAAACTGGAAAACAGAGTGGCATTAGTTTTAAGCTTTATCTGTATTTCAGACTTTGATTGCTTATTTTTAAACAGTCCAGAGGTACACGGTTGGCTACTCGTCTTGTTATAAAGCACATTTGCAACTGGACTAGGGAAAACTTGCTTCACATTTGTGCTAAAGTGATTTAATGACTCTTTTCATGTTAATGAATGATATTTCTTTTTTCCAGGAAATGGATTTGTAAATTCAAGAGCTTCTCCAAATTTAATTGGAACTACAGGTGCAAATAGTTTAGGCAAAGTTATGCCTACAAAATCTCCCCCTCCTCCAGGTGGTGGCAATCTTGGAATGAACAATAGAAAACCAGACCTTCGAGTTGTCATCCCCCCTTCAAGCAAGGGCATGATGCCGCCACTGGTACATTGAACTTTTCTTTAACTTCGTTCTCTAAAACTGGTGTTTTGTACATAGTCTATCTTTTCCTTTGGAATTTTTTTCTACCTCATAGAATCTAGACCTTTTCTTAATGAATATTTCTATTTTTAATTGGCATTTACGAGACTAGTTTTTTTTAATACACTAAAACCAAATTTTGTTAAAGTAAGAAACAAATCTGCTTACAGTTATTTAAAATTATTGAGAGATTATTATACTTAATTTAGATTTTACCAGACTGGAATCTTTGCTTAAAGATCTCATCCCCAGATTGATAAACTATATCTGACTTAATTATTTTTTCTTTGTACTTTGCATACCTTCAATACTAAATTATTTTTAAAAATTCTGCATATCAAAGAGAACAGTTGTTGAATAGGGATGAATGCATAACTACTTAAATGAGTTATTCCCCAAATCATTTTTCTTTTATTCCTTCTTCATATTTAAATATATAAAGTTAGTAATCTTCCTCTTTAACTCTATAAAGAAGACAGGTTCCTTGACTATAAACTATCTTTAGTTACAACCTATTTGCTTTTAAATCCTAAAGTCTGTTTTTGAAGAAAAGGAAAGTATGTTTATTCCTCTTAGCATGTTGTAGGAAAAAAATTAGAATATAGATGCAGGTTTAAAGCCATTCTTAGTTTAGCAACTATTTTACTATTAACATGCTAAGTGATATGCCAGGTGCTCTTTCTACTGTGCAGCTGCTAAATTTGCCACTTAATTTTATTGCTAATTGAAAGTGATGTTATCAGGCTTTATATAATTCTATATTTGTATATAATGCTTTATAGATCCCCAAATAGCTTGATATGCATTGTGTCAGTAGACTGTGATCTTGGCAAGGTAGTGTTGAGGAAACTGAGAAGTTACTTGTCCAGGGCAGTACAAAAGAGAGTCAGGACCACAATTCTTGACTTTGAAAAACAAATAAGTATTTTTCATTCAGAGATACAAAAAGCTGGAAATTGTGTTGCTCCCAATCTTAGAATGACAGAGTTGGACAAACAGCAAGTTCATAGTTACCCTGAACTCACTTTACTGCCGAGATTTTAGGGCAGCCAACTTGCCCAGACTCTAGAGAGAGACAGATACTGCAGGGCGAGGACATGTGAGCACTGACTTACTAGTTAATAAGAGTTTAGCTCCGGTGAATGGTGACTTGTTGAGGCCAACTGTGCATTGGCAGTAAAACCCCTGAGGAGGTGACGGGAGAATCTTGAGAGCTCTTCTAGGCTTTTTCTCCATGAACTCCACTGGGTGTTCACAGAAAAGACGGGATATTCTCAAGTTCCCTGTGGCACACAACTGGAAGAGGGGAAGAGCAGCTACTGCAGTAGGGCAAAAAGAAATATGGGATCTTTGTCCCATTTCTCATCTATGGAGCCAAAAAAAAAAAATCCACCTTAATTTATGAGGAAATAAAACAGTGTGAACCTTAGGGCACTGGCGAATCCTATCATATGTGAGTAAATAGAAAAGGAAAAATATCTCAGTTATTGGTGGCGGTGCAGGAATGATGTCAGGAGCCAGGCAGGGTGATCAAGAGGGTCGCTGCCCAAAACAAAATGCAAAGGAATAGGCTTAAAACTGAGAATGACTAGTCACTGGGAAAAAATAAATGAAAAGCCTTTAGCAAACCACTCTCCTAATGTCAGAGGAATTTGAATCCAGTAGTAGATGCACTGAGGTAACCATAACAACAGTGAAGTTCAACCCCAACCCAGTTCCTAAATAAATTGACTCAAACCCTGCACTCAAGGCTTATCAGGAGGAAAGATAGCTGTGTAATCAATAAGTCAGTAGGAATTACCCAAACTGAAATACAAAGAGAAAGAAGAATGAAAACAAAACAAAAAGCAGAGCAAAGCCTCCAAGAGCTCTGGGACTTTATCAAATGGTTTAATGTATTTGTAATTGGAATTCCAAAAAGAGAAAACAGAGCAGAAATATTTGAAGAAATAATAACTGGTCCCAAACTAGCGTAAATGCCGCCGCCACCACCACACAGATGCAGATGCTAAAAGCAAAAGACAGAGAAAAGTCTTAAAGGCAGACAGATAAGGGAGAGAGAACATAGATAAGGACACAGAAATTCTCTTCAGAAACTATGCAAGCTGCAAACCAATGAAATAACATGAAAGTACCGAAGTGGGTGGGGGTGGTAGAAACCTCTCGATCTGAGTTCTGTACACAGCAACAATACCTTTCAAAAATGGAAGAGGAATAAAAATTACTTTCTCCAACAAAAAAAAAAATGATGGGAATTTATTGCCATCAGACCTACTCTGTAAGAAATGTTGAAGAAAATTACTTAGCAGAAGGAACAGGGGAGACCAAGGATGCGTGAGAATGTGGAATGATGCTGGATCAGAAAAAGGACATCAGTGAAAAGCCTGGTGAAAACCAAGCTAGATCTATAGCTTTCCTTACCGCTGTTTGATTTTTACTAGTTTTGACAAGTGGTTCCCTTCTCCTCAGGATGGTCATATGGGGGAAGCTGGTGAGGTGTGTGGGGGGTGCTCTTTTTGCAACTGCTCTCAAATGGTTTCAGAGTACAAAGTTACAAATACATGTATACATGTGTAACACACATCCCAGCCACCCTGCAGGGAGGTTAAAACAGTCATTTGGCTCCCCTTTCAGGGACTGGATGTGTGGAATACCTGCCTCTGTTTTTCAGAAATAAAAACTACTGAAAGTTCATTTAAGATGCAGAAATATGTTTAAGAACAAACTACGTTTAGGCATGTAGCAGTTTGTTGAGATGACCGCTGGTCTTTTTTTTAAGAGATGAAGCATCTCTGTGCCCTGTAAACTATTCACACCCTTACCACACACAACATACACTGTGTTTTACAGTATTTTGATGTGTATCTATCTTACAGTGGGAGAGACGGAATGATACCTGTAACAACGCAGTTGAACATTTTACCCACGTTCAAAAGTGCAGTTGTAGGTTGAGGGATTTTTTTCTGAGTAAACAGCCAGCTTCCCTCCTGTTTTATACCATTTGTTTGCAGATAAATGTGCTTTCAGATTGGGACTTAAGGCATCAGTGAGTGATGCTTATAAAGGCACCTATCCCATGTTGACAAAGCAGCTTGATTTATTTGAGCAAAATAAGAAAAAAACTAATTTTTAAACATTAATGTTTTCTAGTTTAAAAAAAAATGTTTCATCTTCTCTAATCTCGTTTTCTTCATATATATGAAATTATATATTTTGTTCATATGAAAATTACATTTGCAGATGATAAACATGTTAAGACCTAATATACTTTTAACAAATGCTTTCTTGTTTCATAACACTGTGCTAGCTACTGTGGAAAATAGGTAAACTTAAAATAATTTCTGACCACCCAGGAATACAGACTCTTAATAGGAGATAAGTGAACATGTGTGAGCAGATGGATAGGGATGAGAGGGTAAGTGCAGAGCTAGTATTCTCAAGGTTCCAATTATGAACTGGCGTCATGATTAGGAACCTCTCCTTTGTAAGAATTGTCACAGTAGCACAGCTGTGTGTCGGGGAGATCAGCATAAAAGCAGACCAGGTTGGGGGAGGGAGTGTCCTAGAAAAGTTAAAAGGACTTTTGAAAGTCTTTTTGACATCAGCTACAGCGACAGTAATACATATATTTGTATTTGTTGCATATGTCATCAGCTCATTAGAGTTCCAAACAACTGCCAGTGTTTTTCTAAAGAAATATTTTATTTTCAAGTACCAACAGTCTTGGTAACTCTCTTATCCCTCTTATGTGCTGAGTGCAGTCGGAGGAAGAGGAATTGGAGTTGGTGAGTGTGGGTTTCTGCTTGAAGGGAGTTGAAAATGATATAGAAAGTACTAATTTTCTGAAATGCTTTTATTTAACCAGTGTTCCTTTTGTTACACCGATTTTTTTTTTTCCTTGTAATTAAACTCTGTCCCAACACTCTGAATAACTGAACCAATTTACTGGTACTACAGAGTCTAGTTTTTCCATTTATAATTGTCTATCTTGACTCATTTTATTTGTTGCAAGGAATATTGGAATAGGGCCTTTGAAAACAATAGCTGTCCTTGATCACAAGACACTTGTTAAAGGTTTGGTTTTTTTTTTTTTTTTTTTGTTAGGAAAGATACAAAATACCTTATATAGCTCCCCAAATTATTAACATTTTTAGAAAATGACTTCACCCCCCAGAGTTCTTCAGATTGTAACACACGGTCTTGTGTTATTTCTCTTTCTTTCAAAAAGATTACATCATTTTTGGTGAGGTCACCTTTTTCACAGTTGGAGTTATTTCATCCTGCATGAGACGATCTGAACCACAAGGGGGTTCCCTGTTTACTGAAAGGAATGTCTGTAATTCAACAGCACAGATTTACTTTTTTGCTTTCAGAAGATACTGTGTTCTTGAAAGTAACTAAAACCTTTTTTCCAAAACAAAAGATTTCTGGTTGTTTTATTTCTAGAAAATGAATTTGACTTTCAGTTGATTTCTTCTTTGGGAACTAACACCCAAATCTCATAGAAGTGATCATATTAATTCAAACGACCTTAAAGGAATAAAACTTGAAAATGTTTAGTTTTTAGCATGGACGGGTTCAGACTGCATGAATGCATGTGGGAAAGGCATTTGTTGATTATATTTTATTACATGTGCATGTTGGTGTGATTTGCATAGTTTGCTTTCTTTTCAAAAAGGGTCTGTGATGTGTTCTTAAAGTAAGAGGTTGTTCTTTCATGTAACTTTGTGATCACCCTCACTCACAGTTTTGCATGTAGTTTAGTAAAATATACTAGGCAGCTGTCAGTGGATGGATTATGTGTGGTGGTGAATTATGTTTTGTGAAGATTTGGAATATGTTTGAGGAAATACTTTAATGATATAGTGATGATTAGCAAGTGTAGGTTTATAATTCAAGATAAAATAATTCATTATAAGTTAAACCTTGCAGTTTACCTTTAATAAGTTGTCATGAACACACTTCCTTGTGAATTGTCTAGTAATATGTTGCCCTCTAGTGGTTCTGAAAGTCACTTACTCCTATGAACTCCACGCCATTGAGATGAGGAGCTTGAATGTGCGGAACTCACTTTCTGGCATCTCCCTGCAAAACACCCAAACCCCGTTTTGAGGTCATGCCAGGAGACTGCCGTGGAGACGAGGGCTCACCACGGATAGAGCCCAGGCCAAACTAGGCCACACTGTATACTTTCACCTAGCGCTTGACTTTCTAACAAATTGAAATAGGTCTTTATCTCAAAACTTCGTTAAAAGTATCAACTTGATGCTGTGACTAAAATGAATTCTGGTTGTCATTACTTTTGACTTTCCATATTCCTTAAATTATACCCTTGATTACAAAATCTCAGATAAATTTCTAAACCTTTGAAGACTATAGAATATGGAATTCATAAAAATAAGTATTTGTAATTAGAAACACACATATCCAAAATTATAAAGTCATTTTTACTCGTCAAAATTCAAGCTAATTCAGACTCTAAAACTGAATTTAAGATGTAGAGCTTTGTGTCAGAACCAGAATATAGTCAAAACACAATGTGTTTGAATTTAGGAAGTTGTTCATATTGGTTTGAGCTCAAAAATAAAATCATGGATGACTCTGACCCAGAGTGAGGAAAGACAGAACACTGGGCCTGCTGAAGCTCTACTGGTGAGAGCTAGGCCACAGGTTTCTCTAGAAGCCTCAGAATTCTAGAGCAGCTTTACTTCATGACAGCTATAGCTATGAATGAGAAGAATAAATATATTGACCCTTTTTAGTTTCACCAGTTACGTAGAAATACTGGGCCAGAAGGTTTCTTGGGACAATTTAAAGACACTCTTTCAGTTTTGGGAATTGCTTTGTTTCACAGTATCCCCCGCCTGTTACCCTCACTTGAGGCTCACAGAAGATACTACCCTCCCTGCTTTACAAAGACATTGGGAAGATGTTAATGATTTTTCCCAGATCTTAGGAAGTGGTAAATCTGGAACAGAATCCCCAGCTGTTCATCTGTATACTGCATGGTCTTGTTAACACTGGCTAGAAAATACAAACTAAAAAGTAAATTGATACCTGGATCCTCATTAAATGATCACTTTTCAGATACCTAGATCTAGCCAAAGGCTTTTCTGATTATTACTCTGAAAAGGCTGATAGAGAAAACTGAACCACATTCTGACTCTGTAATCTTAAGGGCACTGAATTATTTCATTGATATGACTTTGGACCTCAAACACCAGTTATCAGGCTATAACTTCTTTTAGAAAAAGGTAACCCTGGAGTTGTATCTGGGCCATTTTATGTACTAACCACATGGAACAGAGAGTCAGTTCTGTTCCTTTGATCCTTGGTTTTGAGGTTTTTCCCTTGAGCCAGCATGGTGGGAAACTGATCTGTCATAACCCTACACACAGAGGTCAGTGACTATCCTTATAACTGAATCAAGTTGATTTTTTAAAAATCTATTCCCAGTGTGAAACGGATACTGTATAGGTGCAGTCAGTCCATAACCCTGTGTATTGCCCCATTCACAGACCTTCAGAAATACTTTAATAGCTTCTCTACTCTGAGCCTCTCCTTTAAGAAGTCAGGAGACTGAAGCTGCTGTCAAAAAATAGGTTGGTGGGAGCGTTGGTAATGATACTGTGCAGATAAAGGTAGGGGATATATGGGAAATCTCTGTACCTTCCCATCAGCTTTTCTGTGAACCAAAAACTGTTCTTTAAAAAAGCTGTAATTAAAAGAAGTGTGTGTGTGTGTGTGTGTGTGTGTGTGTGTGTGTGTGTGTGTGAGAGAGAGAGAGAGAGAGAGAGAGATGAGCGAATGAGGAAAGCCAGTATCAGCTGCAGGTTCAGAAAAGCTAAGGTAAGCGATGCTTCAGTACCAGTGCCTTAAACCATGTTCACATGTACATGCTGTAAATAAAAGTGATTTTGATTCCTATACTCATGTACTTGTAAACACAGTACATACAAATCACCTTTGCTATCCTTGGATTTTTAAAACCTACACAAATTTTATTTAGGATAACCTGTTGTTATTTGTACCGGCATCAAGTCCTTACTTATGCTAACACATCAAGTGTTAAAGCTCACAATGCAAGTTTCTATTTAAGGCTATGTCTCTGACATCAATAAACTCTGTATGGAAAAGATAAGGGAAATGAATAATATGTCCTGTAAAGTTAATTATTTAGTTATTCCCATTAGTATTTTTAAGGTTTTCGCATGATGGCTGCTTCAGAAAATAACATTCACATCCTAAAACTGTGAAATATGTCACCTTTAAATTAATGTTATTTTTGAAATATTGTTATTTTTAAAATATTAAGTCTGGACATAAATACCCACATGATAACTTTTTCTTTTTTCTGCTCTCTCACAGAATACCCAGAGGATAAGCAGTTCTCAAGCCACTCAACCTCTAGCTACCCCGGTCGTGTCTGTGACAACCCCAAGCTTGCCTCCGCAGGGACTCGTGTACTCAGCGATGCCGACCGCCTACAACACTGGTAAGTTTGCTCTCACCTGTCTCGGGTTTTCTTTCTTTGGTCATCTACATGTGCCTTTGTGACTTTTGAAATACATATTTGAAATAATTTCCAGTGTTTTAGATTCAGATACATTAAAAAGCATGCTAACCGTGGGCCTCCCCTGGTGGTGCAGTGGTTGAGCGCTGGGCTGCAAGGCTGCCCGCAGCCTCAGCAGCGCCGGTTCGTTCCCCGGCCGCCCGCGAGGGTCCCACAAAAAAAAAAAGCTAACTGTGAAAAAAATATTTACAAAAACTTCCTTAAGGATGGAGGGTGGGCTGATTCCCCATCAAGACCTTTTACTTTTTCCCCATAACAAAGAAACAACTAGGTCTTACCAGAATTAGGGCCTGCGTGGTAACCTGTTGCTGTGGCATTTTCTATGTAGCTTTTCGTCACGCAGTATCTCACTCTTTTGCAGGCTTTTGAAATAAGATGTGTTTCCCTTCATGCTGTGGGCTGCAGCGTGTGTTTAGCTGTGCTGGTCATGTGCTTTCTCTCCCTGCCACTGCCCATTTGGTTTCTATTGTTTGTGCTTAGGGGGCAAAACCACATCCCACTTGTTCTCACTCCTCTGTGTTTCTTTGGATATTTCATCTTAAAATACCCTAAGGGGCGTGGGGATATATTAGGAAAGTTCAAATATGCAGCAGGGATGGAGGGGTTTGTTTAGCCAGGTGGGTTGTGTAGAGAATCCTGGCGCGCAGGGTTCCTTAATTTTGCCATTCAAGGGGTGACAGAAAGCACGTGCGGCTCACGCTCAACAGTTGAGCTAAATATCTGATGATTCAAAGGAGGAAAACAGAGAAGTAGTTAAATTATACCTTGCCATTTATGCAGAGACCGCAATGCAGGGAACTTAATCGTGATTCTTATAAGGAGAATGTAGTAAAGATCATGTAATTTTAGACTCCAGGGCAAAAGCTTTTAGATGGTGTTTTCAAACTGCTGTCAGACACTCCCTGAGGGTGTACAGCCTTGATACATTCGATTGCCGTTGTAATTCTAAGTCGTTCTTTTAAAACAGGAACAACTTTTGAGTTGTTTTTTCTGTTAGGAAATGCTCACTCCTTTTTCCAACAATCAATATAAAAAATATCCAATTCCCTTACTTGCAAATTTGGAGTAGCGCAGAGGATTATGCATCACAGACATTGATTGTCTCAGCGTGCCCGTCTCTGCTCTGTGAATGGCGCTGTGCAGAGGCAGAGCTTTTCTCCCAATTTATTCCTGATAAGGAGGCGGGACAAACTGGTCAGGAGGACCCCTTCATGTTGAGGTTTCCAGTCTATGCTCTGAGACTTGAGAAGGTACGGGAAGAGGGAACTGTATTCGCTGGAATGTTCAGGGGAGTGTTGGCTGAGAAGATGGGACTTGAACTTGGTGTCGATGTTACAGTTTACTGGGCGTTTCATGACAGGTTTTTCAGTATACTTACCAACTCCATCACACTCCTTTTAAAAAATGCCATTGGCTTTGCATTTTTTTAGTCCAGAGGAATTACCAGAACACAAAAATGGTGTCAGATGCTCTTCTAACCATCAATTACTTAGCTTTTAGTTTCATTACTTCTTTAGTCTTTAATCTCTTTCTTAGAATACATATTCTGTTTCACCATATTATCTTTAATGCATTTATCGATTTTTTTTTTAAAACATGTCCTTTGCTATATAACTTACCTTTCTGCACGTATTTACAGTTGAACACAATAATCACTGGACATGATAAAGGAGCAGTATTTTTCAAAAAGTAAAATACCTCTGTATGAAGGAATCCTACAGACACTTCCTCATGCCCATCAGTAAGATCACTCCAAGTTTCACAAACTTACTCATGCATCCTTGTGACTGATATTTATTATGAACACCTACTGTGTGTAGGTGCTGTGCCTGGCACTGGAAACACATGAATAATACATGGTTAACAATGGAACTTAAAGTCTGTCAGGGGAGAAAGACACCAGACAACTCTGGGGAGAATTTGTTAAAGGCTACTTTTAAGCTTATAGCTGAAGGAGGGAGCATTCATTTTTCAGCCAGGCAGAATAGGGAGAGTGTGCCAGAGAGCGGAGTTTAAAGGTGAGGAAACAGCAGGAGCGTGGCTGGCTGGCAGTGTTGGAGGTGGGAGGGAGGGTTAGAATTGAAACTAGAGAGGTAAATAGAGATTTATAAGCTATGTTGGGCATTTTGGACATTATCTTGGGACCACTGTGGAGAAGCCATAAAAAGGTTTTAGGGCGAGAGAGTCAGGAACTGTGTAGTTGTTCTCAGCTCACTGACTGCACTGTGTATAAGGCATGGGTGAATACGAGGACGCCACCGAAGAGGTTACCGTAGTGGGCCATGTAATGAATGTAGATGGTTTGGACCGGAGTAGAGATGGTAAGACTTGGGCAGGCTTGACAGTAGATAACATTGGTGAGACTGGAGGGCTGGTGGTGGGAATAAGCAGCAGCAAGTCCAACACCCACAGGTTTCTGTTATGAGTAACGAGGTAAGTGTCGGTGCGTTTACTTATCTAGGGAGCGTTTAAAGAGGATCAGGTTTGGAGGAAAAGGAGTCCAGTTGGGTCATGTCAAACATTGGACGTCCAAGGGAACAGCAGTTAGGTAGTTGGAAGGACCTAGAGGTAGAAAGAGGATTGGGGGTGGGTGGGGGCACTGTGGAGGCATCACTGGATGTGGAACTCTTGCCTCCACTTCTGTCACGGGCGGGTGGATAAAACGGGTGACCTTAGAGCGTGTAGAATGAGGAAAGTATAGGATCCTAAGCACCAGCTGTGCTTTTCAACCCAGTTCCTTTCGAAAAAATAATTCACCAGGAATACCAGCTTCTTTAAACACCTCTCTTGAGACATGAAAAACAGTTAAAAGTAGAAAGGTTTTGCCATCTCTTTTTTAGAACTAAATGGAAAAGTGTTAATGATGAACTGGAATAACTGTGTGTGGATCATAATTAAAGTCCTAAGTCTTGGTCAGAGTGATTGTTACTAAAGCATTCACATAAAATGAAATCTGTGACGTATAATACACCTTTCTAATAGTTTTTTATGAACTTGAAATTATTTTGGGTGCAACCAAAGATCTGTCACAGTTGAACAAATGCAGTTACTTCATTGTATGATGAGGTATTTCCAGTCCGTCACTCAGCATGGCACCCCATGAGAAGGGGTGTGCTGTGTCTTTAGAGCTCCCTGTAATTCAAGAATATTAAAAACTGTGGATCTGGGCTCAGTCTGGGTGAGTTGAAGTGCTTCTCTTTGTTCAGGAGGGTAGTACTGGGCATTTTATTTAAAATAACAATTGTATAGGCACAGTCTTCAGTGATGGCCTTATTAGATATTTGTATTTACGAGTCTAGGGAAAGTATTTTAAAATTTTTGTGAAATAAACGAATAATTCAGTATAAAATTTAAATTTATTAAAGTAAACCCAGACAATTAAAATAGCTAGGTCCTATAAACACCCCAAAAGAAAAATTTTTGTGGTTTCTAGACCCGTTAGTATGTTATTTTATGTAGAGAACTGTCTAGCCTACCTCAGCCTAGGAATTGTTGAAGCTACTTTTTGAAAACTGGCTTTTGTATTCATTACACATGAACAGTATTTCTCTTTTCTTTTCAGACTACTCACTGACTAGTGCAGACCTGTCAGCCCTACAGGGCTTCAACTCCCCAGGAATGCTGTCTCTGGGGCCAGTGTCAGCCTGGCAGCAGCACCATTTAGGACAAGCAGCCCTCAGCTCTCTGGTGTGAGTAAAAATTTCCCCTGGCTCTCGAGTGCCAGCCTGTGTGCTCTGTTAGAACTAAGTTTTTTGCTCTGTGGATTGTCATGTGTATTATCTTGCAGTGATCTTTTCATGATGCACAAGTGTTCGTAGAAAAGCTTTTCTCTACATACCTCTAGATAGTAGCTTGGAGACTGAGCAAAGTAGGCATTTCTTCAGTAGCGTCAGGAAGCAAGTCTTCTCTGTCTGACACACCGAGGTAGAGGCTCAGTAGTGCCTGGCAGGTACCACGACACAGATGTCACTCGTCTGTACCTCCTCATGCCTAAGCATTTAGGCTCACCTTTACCTCCTTTTTTACTGTGGTGACTAGCAACAAAGGGAACAGGAGAATGAGCTTTTACTTTCCTCCTGAATCTTAGAGAAGTGGTTGGGGTTCATGTGCTGACCCCACTCACGTGTAGCTCACTAAGGCTCCACCAAAGAACTTACGCACTGAGCGTGGGAATGTCAGTGGAGAGGGCTTTAACAGTGGCGCTCAGGTGGAGGAGAGCCTCCCAGAAGAGGGTCAGCACATGAGCCCCCTCTCCTGTGAGGGGTCCATGAGAGGCGGCTGCCTTGCCCCTACTCAGCACACTCGGTCCACCCAGCACTTTCCCCTCCTGCATTCCGAAGTCACGCCACCGTGCCTACTGCTGTACTGGTCGTCTTGTACGTTACGGCAGGAAACGTCTGCCTACACAGATGGGTTTTGCCCCTCGGGCCTGTGCCGAGCATCCTAAACACACACTGAAAATAGCCCTGTGAAAGCAGGTGGCAGTGGCTTGAAGCTCAGACTGGGGAAAGCCTTCCTAGTGCACTGTTCTCAGCGAGTTAGCCTTTCAGAGGCTGTCTCCTCATCTGGAAAGTGGGGGGCTATGACTGACTTCTTAAGAGAGTTGCTGTGAGAATGGGTGAGGTGTTGTGCCTATCCCAGGGCCGAGCCAGAGAAGAAACCGAGTCGGGGAAGCAGAACGGGGGCTGTGAACTTGCTCCTCCCGTGTTGCTGCAGGCACAATCTCAGACACCGAGGCTGTGATCCTTCAGCCACAGAAGTACACGGTTGTAGGGACAGCTGGTCACTAAAGGTTTGCGCCGTGCTAGCATCCTTGCTTTGTGCCGAGCAGGTAGGAAATGGAGGAAAGCAGTCTAGGGGAATCGTGCCAGCGTTTCAGACCCTGGGCTTTCGCAGCCAGGTGGGCTTTCGCAGATGCATTCACAAACCACTCAGCATCTCCCTTTTTCCTTCAGTGCTGGAGGGCAGTTATCTCAGGGTTCGAATTTATCCATCAATACCAACCAGAACATCAACATTAAGTCAGAACCAATTTCACCTCCCCGGGATCGAATGACCCCATCAGGCTTCCAGCAGCAGCAGCAGCAACCACCGCAACCACCACCACCGCAGCAGCAGCAGCAGCAACAGTCACAACCCCCCCAGCCCCAGGCCCAGCCCCGGCAGGAAATGGGGCGCTCCCCTGTGGACAGTCTGAGCAGCTCAAGCAGCTCCTATGATGGCAGTGACCGGGAGGATCCGAGGGGTGACTTCCACTCTCCGATTGTGCTTGGCCGACCACCGACCACCGAGGACAGAGAAAGCCCTTCTGTAAAGCGAATGAGGATGGACGCATGGGTGACCTAAGGCTTCCAGGCCGGTATCTGTAATTTGTGTTACTGCAGTGAACTGCCCTACATATCTAAATTGGTAAATAAGAACATGAGTTAAACATATTTATATGTACATACATATATATCCCTTTACATATATATGTATGTGGGTGTGAGAGTGTGTGTGTGTGCGTGTGCGCGTGTGTGTTGCATACACAGAATCAGGCACTTACCTGCAAACTCCTTGTTGATCTGCAGACGTGCGTCCCGTGGCAAACAAAGCACCCTGTAGGCAGTCTAGTCTGGCACTTCCTCGGACTACTTGTTTCATAAGATAACCAGTTTTTGCAGAGAAACGTGTACCCGTATATAATTCTCCCACATTAGCTTGCAGAATCTAGAGGGCCCCCTACTTGTTTTATCTAACTGTGCGGTGACTGTAGTTACTTAAGAAAAATGCTTTGTAGAACAGAGCAGTAGAAGAGCAGGAACCAAGAAAGCAATACTGTACATAAAGTCATTTATATTAATTACCCAACCTGGCATGGGTCTCTATTGCAAAGGGGTGCATGGGAAAGGGCTGTTGATACTAAAAACAAAACAATAAAAACAAAAAAAAAAAAAACCCACAAAAAACCCCACATAACTGTTTTGCACGTGCAAAAATGTATCGGGTCAAAGAAGTGATCTTTAGCTAATAAAGAGAGAATAGAAAACACGCATGAGATATTCAGAAACTACTAGCCTAGAAATATAGAGCATTAAAAAAATAAATTAATATATTAAGTTATAATTGGAATATGTCAGAAGTTTCTTTTTACATTCATATCTTAAAAATTAAACTGATTTTAGCTCATGTATATTTTATATGAAAGAAAACACCCTTATGAATTGATGACTATATATAAAATTATATTCACTACTTTTGAACACATTCTGCTATGAATTATTTATATAAGCCAAAGCTGTATGTTGTAACTTTTTTTTAAAGAGAATAGCTTTATCTTGTTTTAACTTTTTAGTTTTATTTTAAGAGGGGAAACAAAAAATATCTTGCAAGCAGAACCTTGGAAACAAAAAGCCATGAACACTTACTATTCTATATGTAAATTAAAAGTTGAGCCAAACTCTTTACGTGTATATAGCATCTTCAATAGATTATCACCTTTGATGTAAGTACCTATGTATTGTATGGTCACCAGATTAAAAAGTATATTTTTGTGGATTGCCGCCAATTTGGGAGGAAAAGGCGAGGTCCTTATTAAGTAGAGTATTCACTGTTTAATATTTACTATTTTGTTAAATATACTGTACTTTGGATTTTAATTATTAGCCCAGTTTTCCAGAGGATTGTATACAGGGGTTTCTCCCCTCACTGGTGGTGAGTGTGTGATGTTACATTGTACTCTTCGTGCTGTATGGGTTGAGCATCATTATATATTTTATATCTGTACATAAATAGCAAAGTGGCAAGAAAAATTGGTGTTAAGTTCATCCTGCATAAATATAAAATGTGTTGTAAGATTTTATAAGGCATTATCTAAAACTTGCCTTTTGTGAGGAAAAAAAGTATAGTAGAAAAAGCTGACCTAATTTAATATTAGAGAAAATGGCGAAATAGTAGATGAGCACAAAGGTTTTATAAGTGGTAAATGATTAGAGAAAACGAAGCATGGGGAAGGGCTGCTTCTTCCTGCCCCTCTAAAAACACGATGCGGCTGGGTAGCAAACCTCTGGCACAGCGCGCACTCCGCGTGGAAGCGACGCAGCCGTGTGGGGAGAGAAACTCAAGTGATGCGAGTCCCTGGCACAACTCTTGCCACCCTGCTGGGGGTTGCCACGCCTCAGCTAAATTCTGAACAAGGCCTTACTCTTCCGGAAGGATGACCACGTGGTGGTAGCGAGGGCCTACGTCTCCTGGGCTTGTGCCATGAACAAAATTCAAAGTCACGTATATCTAAAAATCTATGAGGAGAGATTTTTAAATACTCCTTTTCCTGAGAAAATAGGGGTTTAAAACCTGCTGCTATTTTATATTTTAAACCTAATATCGAGCAGCTACCTATAATTTTTTACATTTGTTTTCCCCCCTAAATGACGTTCCTTTTGACATTTTTATCATACGCTGTTTGTGACAAATCATCAGCCAGATTTCCCGACTGGCACATGGGTATTAGGTACAGGATTACCTGTGACATTCACAGCTGCAAAATGGAGTTTTGTTTTAATGACAGTTTGGGTAGGAAATCCTGACAGAGGGTCCCCCACCCCCCAAAAAAACAAAAAGAGGGTGATAGGCTTTCTCCTCTTTTCAGTCTAGACATTTGGCGCTTATTCAGAAAGGATTTGCTTTTCTTTAAAATGTACTTCACTGAACTACTTGCAGGCACATTTCTTCAGGTCTCACCTAATTGAAACAAGACAGTCTCCCGACACTGAATCTCGAAGATAATCCTTACCACTTCGTAAACCATTTATAGCTTTGAAAGTGTTGAGTGATTCTTTGTTATTTATGCATGTTCATGAACTTCTTCTGCTGTGCATTGGATAGGAGTTACCACATTCACATTTACTGTCTATTTTCTTGTGTGCCTTATGAGATGGCTTTTCTGACTGTATCTCAATAGTCTTTCTTTCTATGCAGGTTTATAATCAGTACAACTACTGTTTTCTAAAATACTACACAAGGCTCGGAGTTTGTATTTCAATTACACTGACCAAGTAACAATGTATTCCATTTTCAGGAACTGAATATTTGACTGTTAATCCTTTTCCCATATGCCCAGCGTGACTCGGAGCATGTCAGCTTGACAGACACGCCTCACCCAGACATCACGTACGAACACACACACCTCTCCTGGTGGAACCCGACTCTGTGGGGAAGACACTAACGGTGTTCATTTTACAACCTACTTTTCTTACCCTTTTAGACTTGAGTGTTTTGTATGACACCATCGCCAGAAACTTTATCCCTTCAGATGAAGTATTTTATTACTAAAAGAGAAAAACAAAAAAAGCTCAGAGTATAAACCCTGGCTCAGGTGCACAGCCCAGCGGCCGCACTCCCGTCAGTGCTTCCGCCGGCGTCACGCTGCAGCGGGAGTCGGTGTGTCTACAGATGGTCCCGGTCAAAACTCCATCTTTTGAGCCCTAATTCTGTCCATTGTGTTAGAGACTAAATCAGGGGTTTGTTCTAAAGAACAATATATGTTTAGCATTTCCTTTAACTCTAAGGACAACTGATGAAGCATTAACATTTTCTGTACTAACCATCATGCGCACAAGAAATACATAGTAAATAAGGAACCAGAAAACTCCTGGCATCGGATCATAAGCAGCTTAGATGATTAGAATGTGAACAAGATTTTACAAATGTAAAACTTTTATTTCTCTGTAGAAACTTTCTTCACTTTGCTGTGCAAGAAGACACTGCTTTGCTATATTTAAAATGGCTTTTTTAAAAGAGATTTATGTATTTGGTAATGTTTGTAGTCAACAGTTCACACAAGAAGCTGTACGCGGTTTGATCACGCAAAACCGTTTGGCGGCACAAGCTGGACTTTGTTGCCATCCTTGAGATGAACCTTTTAAACAAAATAAGTGAATCTCAATTTTTCCCTGAATGTGTTGTTTTTTCTTCATGATACAATAAATACTATAGTGAACTTTTTATCAAATGGTTAAGAAAATGCTAGAGGTTGTTGTAAACTCTTTGTATCCTGCACTCACTACAGTAAAGACGGACTGGCTTTTCCTGTGTACTCCGGACTCTGTCATGCTTGGCACTTGTCCCCTAGCCCCCAAGCCCCTTCTTCCACCTGCAGGGCCCCTCCACTTGATGAGGCATGGCCCAGAAAACCGAGGCGGTATCCCACCCCCTCGTCCCTGTCAGCTCCTGTCTCCCTCCTGGGGTGGCTCCGGCCTCTGAGGAAGCTGCCAGCGAGCCGGGCCCCAGCATCCGCCGCGTGGCTGCTTACGCGTGTCAGATGGACTCGGCCCACCCACAGCCTCTGACACCTCCTCCCAGGATGCACACCGGCGTGTGGGCACCGGGGGGGTGTGGGGGGGACTTATTAGAACTGTCATTACAGTCTACTTAGCTTTAAAATTTGGGGGATGAAATGATTTGTTTTACCCAAAAAGCACAGGTAATACGAGCTAGGGGAGAAGACACTGACTAGAATGGAGGTTGACTTGCAAAAGTGACAGGTCTGAGAAGCCCTCTTCAGCGTGCAGGGGGGAGTATGCTCTTGCTCTGGTTTGCCCCCTCCGCCAGCTCCCGGCCAGGCGGACTCTTGCTGCCAAATCACAAGCTAACGTTTTGTGCTGGTTTCACTTGCCGGGTAGAGCGAGGCTCTTACTAGCGGGTTTGGAAGGCCAGCTGAGTCCTGTGGCTAGAAATACTCCAATCACAGCTGCAGCTGCTCAAAATCAATTCATTGCGATGTCCTAGTCAGCTCCCATGGGTGCCTTGCTCTGGGCTCCGTCTTGTTTTCAAGCTGATTCTGTGTCTGGCACCCACGGAGCATGATTTGTCAGTTGGCACCCTCTGGCCAGCGGGGTGGCTCCAGCCCCCCATCTGCCTGTCCGCTCCCTTGCAAGGGGTTGAAGCGCCACCTAATCGCAAAGCTGACAAACGCGCTTTCTTCCGCACGAGACAGACGGTTCCAAACAGGCACCCGAGGCGGGACGGACCGCGAGTGGCGGCGCGTGCTCCCCTCCTGCCTCGTGTCCACGGCCCAGAGCACCCCACGCGGCTTCGCCAGCCGAGAGCCCCGGCCTGACTGCGGTCGCTGCCGCGAGCCACCGCCTGGACTGCGCCGACCGGCCTCGCTGCGGTGAGTGCCCGAGACGCGGGACAGGCGGAGGAAGGGCCGTCCATTCCTCACCCAGCTTTCCCCGGGGTTTCACCTAAGCCAAGTGCCACCACCAGACCCAAGAAGCGGATGAGGTGCTGTTTGGTTCCTGACCGGAATCTCCCTTTTCCCCTGGGCGGGGCCTGTTCTGGGACTGTCCGGACTCCGTGCAGGCGTTGATTTCTCAACAGGTCAGGTCTAGCCTTGTCTTCGCAAAGATGCTGCTGGAGACGAGGGACGATTTCGCGCAGTGTGCCTGCGCCCTGCCCGCGAGGGGGCGAGTGTGCCCTGCAGCGGGCCCACCGCAGGATCGTGGGGTTCCCGCTGTCCCGTGCAGGCGGTGCTGCCGCGGGTCACCCGGTTTAGTGTCTCCAGTGTTCAGCTACCGTCTTTCCCTTTGCAATGGATACAAGGACCTCGGGGAGGCTGAGGTGATCGTTTCCTCACACTTTCACTCACACCCACTAATTGTAGTTTGCAACGACTGTCCCTGTGGCCTGCGCCTGTTTCCTGCAGTTGTTAACTGGTCGCCTGCTGCAAGGAAGCGCTGTGCCCTCGCCACCTGACCAGGTCATGCACTCGGGCACTGAATGTCCTTCCTAGGACTATCCTCATTTTGTTCCTTATTAAATTTTTCCAGCTCTGCCCATTAGCAGTTCCTTCACGTTAACTCCTGGGGGTGGTTTTTTGCAAAGTCCCTCCCCACTCTTCTAGCATTTCCTCCCATTCTGGCAAGAAGGCTCACACTCTCATTTTCCTTGTCCTAGTACCAGGTCAGCCACTCCCTGGAGGATTCCTAGTTTTGTTTATTGGAGAGTAAAATCTAGAAACTCAGATCCGGGCACCTTATGTGCCCCCTGCTACTGGAGTATCATTGCTTTTAGGCTTTATCTGCAATAAACAGCTGGGAAATAGTTGCAGGTCTGCTCGCCCAGACACCCACATTCCGTAGCTGCACCTACATATACCGAGAGGAGAAAGCACGAGTCCACGCTACCGCATCAGATTTCAGTTCATCACAGGGTTCATTTTAGTCCTTGTTTGTAACTTCCCTGTCCTACAGTAAGAAGTCAGCTATCATCTGCAACCTTCTTGCAAGGTGCCAGCCCAGGTGCCTTCAGTTGACCTGTCTCTGTGGGTGCTGTCCCCTTCAGCTGTGCTGCTTCGTGCCATCAGCCTGATACCTGTCACTGGCCTGCACTGCAGCACAGACACGTGGGGGGGGGGTGGGCAGCCACAGGTGAACACACCCACAGCCAGGGCCTCCCGAAGCTGCCTGTAGATATGGGGGGCAGTTCCAGATCAGGTCCTGCCAGTGGCCAGCACCACCGCACCTGCCTGTACCTGGCCCTGTCCAAGTGTGCACCTCTACTGCCCCTGCCACCAGTCTCCCCCCAGCCCCAGTGTGCACACCTGGAGAGCGTGCAGTCACGGGGAGCACACCAGTACACACACCCTGCGTTCCCTTACTGATCGACAATAGTGTGCCCACTGGTAACTGGTCCCTCCAGCTGAGAAACTGCGCACCCCTTCACACTTAGGGGTAGAGTGTGAAGCCATAGGAGAGCACCCCAACACCTGGTCCACTCAGATACCAGTGAGCCCATAGTTAGCCCTGACTGCTCCCTCACTGCAAGGATGTCTGCAAGCAGCTTTTTTCACGCCTGTAGCTGGACCCTTGGCTCATCACTGGCAGAGCTACCGCTGCTGCTACCCGGTACCCGAGCTACTGGTCTCAAAGGCGCTGTAGGAGCTCAGCAGCCCTGGCGGACACAGTGGACCCTCTGCAATGCTCTTCACTAACCACAGCGCTGCCAATACTGTGGACACCAGTGGCCTGAGCCAAAGAATCATCAAACTCCCACTGGACCCAGTGATGCAACCTGTCATTACCCTTGGTGGCCTGAACACCTAGACCCGGAGTGACAGCACAATGCAGTGTGCCTCTGTCTGCATCTGGAAGCTTCCATTACCAAAATGAGCCATAGTCTAGAACAGGTGACCTGGCTTCGAGTGCAGGCGCCTACACAAGGCACCAGTTATTGCAAAGAACAGAGGAGACATGTCTCCACCAAACAGGAAACCGCTACAGCTAGCTCCGAAGAAATGGAAATCGAGGATATGCCTGACAAGTAATTAAAAGTAATTATTCTACAGAAGCTCAGAGAGCTACAAGAGAACAAATTAATGATACGAGGAAAACAATACAAAATAGCGCAACAAGAGGAAACCTTAAAAGGAATTCTGGAGCTAAAGTGTACAAGGACTGAAGAATTCAGTAGGCAGCTTCGGCAGTGTTAAAAAGAATCAGGAAGCAGCAAAAAGTGAACTGAAACTACACAATTAGAAGAGTAGCAAGAAAAATTAACGGAAAGGACCTCTGAGACACTCCCCAAAGAAACCCAGTACATACTGCTGGAGGCCAGAAGAGAGGGGCAAAGGAGCAGGAAGCTTATGAAGTAAATAATGGCTGAGAACTCCCCAACAGGGGGAGAGAATTCGATACCCCAGGACACAAGGCTGAAAAATCACTGTGAAACTTGAAAACGTTCTTCTCCAAGACAGGGCATCCTGTCTAAAACGAAAGACAAATTTAAAAGCTGCAGGAGAAAAACAATTTTCTTAGGCAAGGGAAACTGCCGAAGGTTGCCAGTGGGTTTCTCAGCACAGAGAGAGCTTACAGCTCAGGAGAGGATGGAATCATGTATTTGGCGTGCTAAAAGAAAGTTCCAAATAAGAATACTTAACCTAGCAAAGTTGTCCTTCAGGATTTAGTGAAATAAAGTTGTTACCTAATAAACACTAAGGGTACCCATTACCACTCACCCACATTACAAGAATCGGAAATTCAAGATGAAACAAAAGGAAGTTAATGGATTGCTTGAAAACATGAAAATAGACAACATGCTAATAAGAAGTAAGCATAGAGCCATTTCTAGAATATCCTAGCACATCCAAGTATTAACTGCTGAACTCAAAGGCAAGTGTGTTAAAAAATAGCTATAGTTTCATTTTTGTGTGTGTAGAAGAACCGGGATGTAGGCTAGACATGCAGGGGGTGAGGGGGTTCCCCAGAGAGGGGGGAGCAGAACAGGCGGGTTTACTGAAATACAGCAGGCAAGAAAGGAGAGATCTGCTGCGCCATATGTGGGTCAGCTGCTTGGCCAGGGATCGAACTCAGACTGAGGCTGTGATAGCACTGAGACTTAACCCCTAGGTCACCAGGAAGGCCCTCGATAATGTTAATGGATACACAATAAATTTAAATGGTGTCATCAAAAATATAAGAGAATACAGGATAGTTTTGTAATATGGGATCAACATTATGAATTGTTAACAATTATTATAATAGTATACTTATAAGATGTTTTATGTAAACCTCATGGGAACCCCAAAGAAAAGAAATCTACTTAATACAAAGAGAAGACAAAGTTTACTACTATGGAAAATTATCAATTTATAAAGCAAGAAAGGGAGAAAAATGGACTTATAAACAGCCAGAAAATAGTAAGATGGTATTAGTGAGTCCTTACCTATCGGTAACTGCTCTGAATGTTAATGGAGTGAATTCTCCAATAAAAGGGGATCAGAGAACAAGATGCATCACTATGCCGTTTACAAGAGACTGCTCTAAGTACACACAGATTCAAAGTGACGGGACAGCAAAAGTTACTCCAGGCAAGTGGAAGCAAAAACAGACAATGGGTGTACCACCAGACAAAACCGACTTTGGTTTTTACATAATAGGGGGGGAGAGGCATCAGTTCATCAAGGAGAGATCAACCATCAACAAATATATACATTTATGTGCATATATACGTGTGAATATGATACTAACATTTGACAGGGCAGTTAGACAACTAGGCGACTTCAATACCCCATTTCCACCAATGACAGATCAGAAAGAAATTGAAAAAAAGTGTGGAACTAAAATCATTTTAGATAAAATGGACCAACATATATACAGAACATTTCATCCAACAGAAGCAGAATACACAGTCATCTCAAGCACACATGAGAATTCTCCAGAATATTAGAATAGCTGTCATCCAAAATAATGGACAACAGATGCCGGCAAAGATGTGGAGAAACGAGAATCCTTGTGCTTCGCTGGTGGGTTATAAACTGCTACAGCCATTTTGGAAAAGTATGGAGGTTCTTCAAAAAATTAAAACTACGACGACCGTATGAACCAACACTACCGGTTCTGGGAATAGATTTGAAGGAAACCAAACACTATGTTGAAGAGAGATCTGCACCCCTGAATTCATATCAGCATCATTTACTAATAGTAGGAGTATAGTAACATGAAAACAACCTGTGTCCATCGACAAACGGCAGGATAAAGCTGTGCTAGGCACGCACGCACACGCGGATGCATATGTATATATATATGCACCGCAGCATGACTGACCTTGAGTGCACTGTGCTAACTGAAGTCAGACAGACAGAATACTGTGTGATCTCACTTACGTGGGATTTAGAGAAGATCAGACGCTTACACAGGGAATCCCAGAGGTGGGAACTGGATGAAGAAGGTCAAAAGGTACAAACCTCCAGTCGTGGGGTAAATAAGGACTAGGGACGTAACATACAACGTCCTGACTCCAGCTCCTGGTGTGCAGCACTTATGACAGTTGAGAGGAAATCTGGAGTTGTCATAATTAGGAAAATAAACTACCTATAGGAGACGGTGTTAGCTAGACTTCCTGTGGCAATCGTTCACAACGTCCAGAAATCAAATCATGAAACTTAACTTAAACTTACAGTGCTGTCCGCTGTCTCTCAATATAACGAAAGAAGAAAAATATCAAACCCCCCTGGGTCATTTCAGGGCCCACAGAATTGTCCCTCAGCCCAGGTGGTCTCTGCAAGGAACAGAGGCAGGTGAGAGAAAGAACATTCTGGGGAGGGGCTCCGGCGCGGGCTGAGCTGGGCAGGCTGGCGCTGGGTGACCCTGGGGCTTCTGCAGGGTACCTGCAGCCTTGTCTCCCCAGAGTGAAATGGGAGAGTCGCCGCCTGACCACGGAAAGAGAAAACGAGCTGCCTGGTGTCCCGTGTTCGCCCGGTAGCAGGACTTCCAAGCGCACAAGGCAGACCTTGCAGCGAGGCAAGGGCGGTTCCCACTCTCTCAGAACCTGTTGGGGTAACCTTGGCCCTCTCTCTTTTAATTCTGAATTACCAAACCCCAAATAATGAAAGAATCTGTTGTCCTTCACAGAAGAAATTGTTTTATTCCATTTGAAAAAAAAAAAAATAAAGGATACAGATACTCATTTTTTGCTTGGCAAGTCATTCTCCCCAGGGACTCTGCCCGGCCTGCTGAGGTGAATGGTGACAAATGCTGAAACACCTGTGCCCCTCGGGGGCAGCACAAAGGGGCTAGCACAAACATTTGGCTGGAAAAACATTCTCTGATCAAATCATTTCAGTAAAGGTTCACAATTTTATCCTGAAAACCATTTGGTCTCAAAGATGATTTCATTTTGAAGATACTTTAAATTTGCTTGTCGAATCTGGGGCACATTTTTTCACAGAACTGAGAGGCGAAAGAGGTTGGAAGCCCACCAAGTACTCTTCTGGCTACATGTTCCTTCCGCTACATGAGACCTTTTCTGTTTAACCGGAAGCCTGATGCATCATACGCCATAAACCATGCCCAAAGCTCAGTGTTGTCCATTCGTTCGAGAAACATCACTGAGGCTAAGCCAGCCCCCTCCATGGGCTCACGGTGGGCTCCTGCAAAGCAGGCTCTCATCTCCACCTACCCTTGCTCTACCGGCAGGGTCTCAGCGGCCAACCCATGAGTCCCTCAAGCTTCCACACTTAGCACCACTGTTCCCTTGACTTGGGAGATGGGCCAACTTAGCAGATGGTATCAGTCCACTGTATGGCCTTGAACAGCCAGGGCTACTTGTAGGACCCCACTAAGTTTCTCTGGTCTTTGACCATGAGATCCATTTTAACAGAGTCCCATTCTCAGGCTATAGCGCTAGGATTCCTAATAGTCAGGGAGGCAGCAGGAAGCAATCCCCATCTCCCTGCACCACCCTTCCAGGTGCACACAGGGGCTGCTGCTGCTCTTGGCAACACCAGCCTTAGAGACTGGGAGCGCAGTGCTGGGCGCTTGTCCTTCTTTAGCTACACAGCGCCACCGGCCGGCCAGAGCCTTCCAAGAATGCTGTTAGTGATCGCTGTGGGCATGCGCCTCAGGTAGCAGCAGATGACGACCCCCAAAGTTTGGCCAACTGGTCACATGAGGCAGAGCTTAAAACACACTTTTGTGTCAGACTAAGTAGCTCTAGAAGCAGGAGGGATAGAGCTAATGCCACTCAGTATTATAATAATTTTGGATTTAGGGCTTTTTTGATCTTGGAAATGCCTCAAAAAAAGTGGGTTTGTTACAATAAGGAGGATTTGTTACAACCGTAAACTGGCATCCTAAAACAGGGGGGAGCACCACTATTGCACAGCACTTCTGCCAGGGATGCAACCAACCATAGGTGGCAGCCAGGTGACTGATGCCAATCCCAGGGATTCCTGTGCTGAAGGTCCACCGGCCAGGGCCATTCTAACTTGGGGGCCCATAGTGTTACTGTGAAGACACTGCCTGCCCAGTAGCGCCTTTAAGAAATGGCACCTGTCAGATGTCAATGTCTCTCAGTGCACCTTTTGGGATGTAGGATGCTAAGGGCACTGTTGTTTTGGCTCCTACGGTCTTGGATCAGGCAAGGTTATTCCCCAGGGTGAGTGTTATCAAAAAACATATGGCTTCTAAAACGTGACCATATACCAGAGAAAAGGAAATACAGCACCCGAAGATGTGGCCAAGGTCAGCTGATGCACATGAGGAGCGCAACTGCTAAAACCATCCGATTCTTTACAAACTATGGCGAGTTCCCTGCCCAGCTGGTTGGACTAAACCTCCTGTCTGAAGAGGGGATGGTGGGCAGTGGAACCACAGATCTGGTGGGGGCTTGCTCTGGAACTGTACTCACTGCCATGGAGTCATTGGGGACAGCAGTCGTGTTCAAGCTACTGGAGACCTCACCAGTAGCCTGTATTTTGAAATAAACTAAATAAAACACTGGTAAAACAATGCCAATCAGGAGCATAATAAAAACCGCATTCCACCACTGAATTCCACAGTCTGCACCATTTGTTGGCATCTTTGGAGAAGCCGGCAGCAGAGGCTGACTGGAGGGCTCTATGCAGTAACTTTCACTTAGGAAGATTTCTGACTGCGCCACATGCTCGATATTCTGGTCAATGCCCTTGAAGAAATCTGTCAGCGGGCTCGACAGGCCAGCGGGGCCTACAGCCATCCCATCTGGATCTGGCTGCTCTTCGAAGGTCACTCTGATCTCCGGGGACGGACTGGAGATGGGTCTGAGTTCTTTATGAGTCTCTGTTAGGATCCCATGGTTTTTCACTGGAATCTTTATAGATTTCAAAGCATATAAGTCTTGTTCTCTGATGAAGTTGTTGGCTTTCTTGATATCTGCCACCTAGGGAAGCCATGAAGATAAATATCACGAAATATGTAAAGTTCCTTAAGACCAATATCCAGAAAGTGGTCCTTAATTGTTCTGGGTGAAGGTCTAAGCCCACCTCACTCAAGAATCTGGTGAACAGTGGAAACTTGTACCTATGCAGAAAATTAGGCTCAAGAGCTTCATTTTTTGGCTTTAACTCAGCCTCAATGTATAGCTTAGTCGTCAGATTGCCCCATAGGTTAACAAGACCAGGTCTGGAAAAGACTCGAAGTGTGACAAAACGCTTTCAGGTGAAATTTATACTACAAAATTACTGCAGTCCTTTCTACTTTTAAGGCAACAGCACCTCCATCTGGCTGACATCAGAACCCAATCCAGCATCTGCCAGAAATTAGCATTCAGGCTACAGACACTCAGAACCTTGTTTTCCTTGAAGTTTTCAGAGGTGTGCCCTCATCAACTTCCTTGTTTTCTTTCCCAGGAGTATGATTTAGAAACTTGTTTTTAAAATAAAGCAACCAACAGTTAATTGACTTGGATTTTACACTTAGGATAATCAGAAACATGCACGGAAGCAAGCTGGAAACTCTCGACTTGAAATCTACTCCAGCGTTAGGATTTAGGAGAAAGAACACCTGTGTGAGTTTTATATAGCAACAACGCTCTTGGAAAACTCCTCATAATCAGATCTTATGATTTAAGAAGTGAGAGGAAAATCTAAATTAAAGATAAACCCTCCCTTCAAAGCAGTCTGAAACTTACTGAAAGCATCAGAGATAGACTGAGGTTTAAAACACCTAAGTCCACTTAGAGTTTAAGTACAGCCAACAGATCATTCCAATCAATCACCTCCATTATTTTAATTATTTAGCAACTGCTTTTATCATCGGATTGAAAACTGGTATAGGAGACATTTTTAATTTATTAAGTCCTAAAACTAATAAGGTGCTTGAGACTTTTTTTGTCTTTGCCCCTAATAAACTGACATCAAATGTATTTACTTCAAAGGGGAAGGCTGACCCTTATCGGAGGCATTATACAGCCATCTCAGATTATTAAACATCACCATTGCAAGAAGCCCACTCACTGTATCTACCCGTCTTTGAAGAGCAGGGTTCATTTTCAACTGTTACTCTATAAACCATATAGTGCCAGTTGTAAGAGTCAAATACAAATGTCAGTGTAATTTAGAGACCACTGTGTTCTGGAGACTAGCCTGCTTACTTCTGATACAACCACCACCCCATGCAAGTCAGCTATTTGAAGTTTGTTAGATAAATGACAGTTTAAGGGGGTGAGTTTTTTTTTTTCTTTAAATAAGTAGTTATACAGCTTTAGAGAAGACCTAAGGAAGTTTAAGTTATTTTGCTACATCAGCAGGTTGCTATGTTAAGGCACAGTTAACATAGTATACTGTTAGCAAAATAAAGTAAGTAGTTTCAATCTGGGGAAAAACACAAGCAGCAAGTCTATAAATACTTTCCTACTTACTCTGTTATTGTTAATCACTCTGAATGCTAAAAACATAATTAAAGAGAAAAACAGAGTTATACACACAGGATACAAAGGCCATATATATCATGCAGTTCTAAAAAAAGGCAAAACATTATCAAAGAAGCTCTAATCAGCAAGTAAGGTTCTGAAAACAGCAGGGAGATGGCGAGCGTACCAACGAAACCCTGGATAAGTATGCCTATCATCTCTGCCCCCAGCAGGTGTTAAATAAAACGTGCTCAAAAGAAGGGTGATCAGATTTTCAGTTTAGAGCAGCAGGGCGGAGGAGCACGCAGCAGAGGGAACGCGCCAGCGCTGAGATTCCCCGGCCCTCACTCCTGCGACCTCGGGGTTCACCTGCCTTCCACCTCTGGCGAGAAAGGGGCATCATCTGCTTCAACCGACCTCTCCCAACCATCTATGGGAACCAGGAAGGGGGGAGCTAGGGCCTCCCCTCAGTGTGCCTCTGCTCCTCTCCACTCAGAGGCGCCAGTACCTTCCCCAGGATTTCTTACTTTGCAGCCATACTGCAGAGCCAGCTTGTTGAGGCTGTCTTCCTCCGCCAGCTCCCGCTGCAGCAGCACCACGTCCCCTGCTCCCGGCGGCTGAGGGTGGTGGGCGCCCTTCTTCTGGCGTTCCGTGCGCCGGGGCCGCAGAGACACACTGCGGGACTCGTCCTCAGAGGAGTCCCCCGAGTCCCCACTGCCATTCTCAAACATGTAAACGTGGCTGGTCGGAGTCCTACAGACAAGGGCTGCGCCATGGAAGGGCTTGGTTAACGCTTCCTTCTGCCTCATTTTCTCTACTGAAAACCAAACCCCAGTGTTAATTCCATAAGGCATATTCACTCCTCTGTGGCTACACCGCCTGGCTGTGAGAGGTCACGTCTTTGCCTGATCACTGCTAGTAATAAACACCGTCAGCATAAAATCGAATGGGTTCCTGCCGGCTGAGACGGAGAGACGCGCAAACACAGCGTGTTTCCCTCACTGCACATTTCTGCGCACGGAAAATAAGTGAATTAATTCCCTTTCTCTATTCCACAGTCACAGCTGTGTCTCCCCCCATCCACAGAGAAACTATTACTTTTGGGGCTCAGAGCAGAAAAGCAGCAGCTGGCACCCCCTTAAAGAGAGGTAAGGACTGTTCCCTACGTCCTTGCGCTCAGAACCACAAGCCAAAAAAACTCGGTATGACGCATCCGAAGTATCTTATTAAGATCAAAACTACCGACACCTGCTTAGAAAGCTAAGGAGCCTGAAATACCGAATGTGAACAGCTTGAGTTATGACTTATGTGGGGTATGTGGGGGGAACTCGTGCTGAACTAAGAAACTCGTCCAGTTGCTCACAGGTCCCTTTGCTTTTGTTACATCCCACGTCTGGTTTGAATTTTCGCCTCTAGCCAAGTGCAAAAGCCACGACAACCCTTTCTCGCCCTCTCCAAGTTGCCCGGGTGGCCGCCCAGAAATAAAATTTCAAGCACAGGCATTGACAGCATCAGGAAGGAGTTAGCATGGGCCCCTTCCTCGGCACCCCGCGGACCGCCCCCCCACCTCTGCCCTCCGAGGCAGCGGCCTCCCCGCCTCGCACCCGCACCCTCCCCGCCTCGTACCCGCACCCGCGAGGGCCCGGCGGCCCGGCCCAGCGCGGCCAAGGGTTACCAGGGCGTCAAGATCGGGCCCCGGCCTCGCCGCCCCAGCTCAGGACCCGCAAGGGGGTGCGGCCGCCCTCGGGCCTCAGTTTCCCTCCGAGCCCCTTCCACGAAAGGGGGGGTGGTCCCCAAACAAGAGCTGACCAGGAGAAAAAAGGCTCACGGGCATCCCGCCCAGGGGCTTAGGCCGGAGCCGCCCCCCGCCAACAATCCAGAAAAACACAACCTTCGACCTCTGACCTCCAACCTCAGCAACCAGGGGCCAGCCCTCGACGGTCGCGGCTGCCGCCGGGGGCCCCGGGGATGAGACTCGCAGCCCGCCCCCGGGCAACCGGAGACCTGGGCCGCGGCGCTGCAAGCAGCCGGCGCGACACCCCCCGCCCCCCAAAAAATCAAGACAGCGACTCCCCTACCCCCCCGCAGCAGGCCCGGGTACCTCGGCGCCCTGGATCCGACGCGGCCGCCGACGCCGTCGCCGCGCCTGCCGATTGGCTGCGGAAATCAGCTGGCTCCGGGGCGGGCCCGCGAGGCAGCCAATGAGATCGGCGGGGGGGCGGGCACGGGGGCGGGCCCCGCGGAGCTGCGGGGTCAACCCGGGACTAACTGGGAGCGGGGCCCCGGGGCGGGGCTCAGGGATCTGGGCGCGGGAGAGGGCGGAGGCCCAACTGGTGGACCCGACCCCGCCCCTGCTTGCCTCCCGGCTACGCTGCACCAGCTGGCGCCTGTGTTGCCTCTGCTCTGGGCTGTTGAGACTTTTACCGCCTCCCTTCCCGAGCGCCCAGCCCTCCGCCCAGCCCCTGCTTTGCACCTGTGGAGGGGCCTTTGACCCCGTGGGGGTCATCGCCAGGCCTCCAGCGGAGAAGGGGCGTCGACTGCATTGGCCAAGATGGGCAAGGAGCCTTTAGGTAGCGGGTTTCAGCTTCCTGAGGCTTTGCAAACCATACCGGAGGAGGAGCTGGTTCCCTCTTGCTCACAAGAATAAGAAAAGTCCAGGAATGCAGAACATGGAACAATAGCATGGACGGAAAAACATGTTCTATGTGTCAGATGGTGGAGAACTTCTTAAGCTAAAAGGGATGGACGAATTGCCTCACACACGAGGACACAACCGTTTTAAACTTCAACTAAAAAAGAAACAAAACCCAAAATTATAAAGCAAACGATATTCTGAGGGTAATGATTACATCAAACCACACACACAAAATAAAACCCTTTATTGAAAAAGACCTCATCAGTAAGGGGACAGTGAGACCATAGTAGATGATTGGGCAAACCACATGAGCAGACAATTCAGTAATGAATAGAAACATTAACTGGGATGGACAGTGAAATCTGACCAAAGAATTAAAATCACAAGTTCTCAGTCCCGTTCAACCATGACTTTGCATCCCACTTAGAGTCAAATTCCTCATCTTGGCAAAGTCCAAGATGGTGTGAAGGTTTTCACACGTTTTCTAGCTTTTAAACACCTGCACCTCCCATCGCTGGCTCTTCCCAGGAATGTTCTCTGGGCTGCTGGCTTGGCTGCATCTTTAAGCCTCAGATTTTAGACACCTTCCCAGCACAGCCTTCCTGTAGAGATAGGCACACCCTCCTTGCTGTCATCCTCCTGCTTGTCACACTTCCCAGTGAATTTACTTGTTTTATTGCTAGAATCCTCTTGCCTCTAATTATCATCTCTAGGTCTGTTTTGCTTACCACTCCCATTGCTCAACTCTGTCTACATCCAGTAGGGTGCTTATTATATGTTGGTTCAATTGCAGAGACCTCCAGGGATACCCAGGAGGAAATCGGCAACACCCAAATTCAAATCCTGGTGTGCTTGACGCCAAATACTCAGCTTTCAGCCACCAGCTGTATTTCTGCTGCAAAATTCGTTGTCACAGCTGGTGAATTTGGCAAGTCTAGGGGTCAGCATTTAAAAGTATGATTAGGGAAAGAAAGTCAGAATAGAATCTGCAGAGATGAATTGAAACAACCACTATCTGATCATTTATAGTTGTTTCTTCCATTCAGCACACCAAGCAAACAAAACCAGACTTAGCATGGAGAGACTTCATTTCACAAGGATTACTGCAAGGGGAGAAAGGATTATTACAATGGAGAGGTCTGACTAGAAGGTCTGCAAGCATCTCAAGTGTTGGGCAGAAAGAGGGGTGCTTTTGCAGAGAATAAACCAGGTTGGAAGGAACCAAGTGTGAGGAAGTGAGATGAAAAGGTGGCGGGGTTGGAAAGAAGATCAGAGAAATGTTTTAAGAGAGTCTAGTCTGCTCGCTGTAGGAGCTGTCTGCTGGTGAGGCTGCAGGCTGAGGATGGGCCAAAGTTCATTCAGGGGTCTGGAAAGAGCAGCTCAGTGAAAATTTGGTTAACAAGCACTTTGTTCTGATGGGCCAGTGGGGGAGGGGCTCTGTCCCATTTATGAGGCAAAGAAAGGGAATTGGGAGGGCCTGTGTCTGGCATAGTAAACAGGGAAACTAGGGGGCTCCATTAGTCTTATCTAAGTCACATGGGAAAAGAAGCATGGTTCTTGGCACTTTCAATACATTGGCACTTTTTCACCTTCAAACTTTTAGTATCCTTTTTTGGGGGGTTGTTTTTTCCCCAATGCAATGATAGTTCTCAGCATCAGCCATTTATTTCAATATGTTAATATCCTTAATATACAAAAGGCATCCAGCTCCCAATAGGAAAAAAAAGCTATAGAAAATTTGCCAAAAAACTTACTAGTGAAATATGTATAGAAAAAAGGCATTCAATTTACAGAGTTAAACCAATGGAAGCACAAAGAGCTGCAAGAAGCCAGATCTAAACTGAGTATGTTGTGTGAGTGCAGACGTGGGTGGAAAGCACACTCAGCTCCACGGGTTGAGTTCAGAGTGGGGTATCTGTAGCATTATGCAGCAATAGCTTTAAAAAATGTGTTCATTCTTTGTTTCTGCCTCCTGCTTTTAGAAATCTATAATCCTTATCATTACTACTTTCTTGGAAGTTCCTCAATACTAAAATATTGCACCCACCAACGAATTCCCCCACCTAGTATGGTCTGAATATTTGTATCTTCTCCCCCATTATCAAATTCATATATTGAAGCCCTAACTTCAAATGCGATGGTATTAGGAGAGGGGACTGTGGGAGGTGATGATGTTATGAAGAGGGGGCCCTGTGGATGTGATTAGTGCCTTTATAAGAAGAGATATATGAAAGCCATGTTCTTTCTGGACTGGCCCCCTAATTTTCTTGTATTTTTTCCCCTATTTTCCATCTTCAATATTGCTTCACTTTCTGAAGGATTTTCTCAACTTAATATTTTTTTTAAATATTTATTTTTTTATTTATACAAGAGCTGGGGTACAGGCCAGATGGGTGGGAGGATGAAAGAATTCACCAGAGTGGGGAACAGAAAAGGCAGACTGACAAAACACACTGCTGAGGGGAGCAGCGGGCGAGACAGGAGAGGTCTGCTGCCGGGATTTTCGCAGGCCAGGATCGAACCCGCGCTGCAGAGGCTGCCTATAGCTTCACAGTGTGGCGCTCAACCACCTGCGCACGAGGGAGGCCCAACTTTATATTCTAAACTATTATTTCTACTATAGTTTTTATTTTCAAGAGTTATTATTTTTGGAATATCCTTTTTAATAATACCCTGTTCTTTTTCTTCAGGTATCTGTCTCCTGGAGAAACTCGCTTGATGCCGAGAGGGGAGCTCTGGTGAAATTTTCCCAGCTTGAACCTAAGGAACCTACTCTCCAAACCCAACACATCTTCAAACCCACTTCAATGGGGGCTGGGAGGAATAATTTTACACCCTCCCTTTACCTGCCCCCACCCTGACTGGGGTTTACTTAAGAGAATTGAGGAGAAATCCCAAGGAACCCAGAATGGAAACTTAGAAGATCCCTCCTGGAGGCAGGGCAGCCGGCGTGCTCCCTCTGCCGGGCCTCCCCAGCATGTGCCGGCAGTGCTGGGTCTGGGTCTCTGCAGGATGCTTTTAAACTTGGATGATTGTGCTCAGCTTCATCCTTGCAGTGGGACTCAGGCAGCTGAGATGCACTTTAAAGAGGCCATCCCTAACTCATCACATGTTTGGTGTTCTTTGTTCTTTTCCATTTTGTGAGGTGCTGTGACTCACTCAAGCGATTTCACAACCAGAACTGCCTGTTGTGAAAGCAACACCCAAAAGCAAAGAAAGTTAAGGCAAAGATAAACACCTGGGATTACATCAAACTGAGAAGCTTCTGAACAGCAAGAGACACTAACCAAAACCAAGAGATACCCCACTGATTGGGAAAAAAATCTTTGCACTCCATTCAACTGATCACAAAGATATACAAAGAAACTCACAGGACTCAACAAAAACAAAGTAAACAATCCAGTCAAGAAATGGGCAGAAGAACTTAAAAGACATTTCTCCAGAGAGGAAATGCAAAGGGTCAACAGGCATATGAAAGAATATTCAACATCCCTGATCATCAAGGAAATGCAAATCAGAACCACATTGAGATATCACTTTACACCAATGAGAATGGCACATATCAAAAAAAAAAAAAAAAAACAAACAAAAAAACAACAAACGTTGGCGAGGATGTGGTGAAAAAGGAACTCTCCCACATTGCTGGTGGGAGTGCAAACTGGTCCAGCCACAATGGAAAGCCTGTCTGGAGGTTCCTCAGTCTACTGAAAATGGAGCTACCATATGACCCAGCAATTCTACTCCTGGGGATCTACCCAAAGGACACAAAAACACTGATTTAAAAGAACACTTGTACCCCTATGTGTATTGCAGCCCTATTTACTATTTCAAAACCCGGAAACAACCCAAATGCCCGAAAATAGATGATTGGATCAAGAAGATGTGGTCCATATACACCATGGAATATTATTCAGC